CCAGGTCCATGACACCCTTGCACTCAGTGTCCACACGGTGGCCGTAGTAGCGCAGCTGGTGCTTGGTCTTGTCCAACATGAACCAGCGTGCCTTCCAAGGCTTCATGAAGGCCTCTTTCTTGTACAGAGTGCCCTCATAGGACCTGTTCTCACTCTCAGCTGTCTGGAACTGGCTGTACAGGGTGCTGGTGCTGCAGTGGGCAGCCTGGTGGGAGCCAGATGCGGTCGAGCCACTTCTCTGGTCCCTCTCCAGGCTGAGGCTCAGGGTGGAGCCCAGGGGTTCCTCCTGCTGGTACATAACCAGCGAGCAGCGGTGGTGGGGTGCAGGGGACGCTAGGAGGCAGCTAGGGGTGCCACGTCCATCTGGCCGGGCTTCGAGGCACTGTGCAGCCTCATCCGTTCCCAGGTGTCCTTCCAGCGCTCAGCGGGTCAGCCCAGCTCTGTCTCCAGCCTCTGCAGCTCCTCCAGCAGGCGTGAGATGGCGTCAGGCTGGGCTCCGGGGCAGCTGTGGTAGCAGGCCACACCATACTGCGCCTGCTCTGGGGAGTGCCTCCCTCAGACCATTCTTCCTTTGGGGCTCAGGGGGCCCCTGGGCCAGTTTCTGGTCATAGGGAGGGCCCTCAGCCAGCATCTCCTCAGTGTAGAAGTCCTACACCTTCAGACTGGACACGTTGTTGTAGGTCCGCAGGACCTCTGTGTCCTCGGGTGCATGCATGTAATTGTGGAACATGGGTATCCTCTTGCTCATCCGGTCCACACACAGACCTGCAAGGCAGCTGGCCCCTGCGCTGCCCCTTCTCTTACAACAGCCCCAGCTCAATGTGCTCATAGTCAGAGTCCAGCAGGAAGGTCCGGAAACAGCGAGACACATGGTGGTAGCCAAGGAACTTGAGGTAGAACTGGCTGAACTCAAACTCCGTGGGGAACTGCAGGTGGACCTGGTGTAGGCAGTCCAGGAACTACAGGAAGATGGTGTGAAGCTGCTGCTCTGTCCAGCCAGAATGTGGTCTCTCCAGTGGCTGAAGCGATGACTGAAGGACAGCCACTCCTTCTCCACCAGCAGGCAGAACCCCTCCAGCATGCGGTAGAAGGGGTCTGACAGCAGCTGCACCAAGGATACCACCTGCGTGGTGATGGCCCAGCCGTCCTCCAGGCCCATCAGCACGGAGGAGCTTGAGTACAGGAGCTCCCCACCAGCACCAACACCTGCAGCAGCTTGTGGATCTGAATCAGCCACTCCAGTCCTCCAGCAAGGGCAGGAAGGAGGCTAGGCTGGGCTCAGCAGCAGAGCAGCCTGGGACACATGCCTTCAGCAGCTTCTTGAAGCTAGCCTTCACCTGCCGCTCCTGGAATACCTCAGTGGGCACCAGCTCCCACTGCTGCAGGGGATCTGGCCTCACACTCTTGAGTTGGACTTTGTCCCCGAGGATGTAGAGGGCTGCTCGCTGCAGCCACAGGAAGTCCTGGTTGGGGGGCAAGGGGCAGCCGTTGGCCTGGGGTGGGGCCAGCACGTCTCTGCCAGCTAGCCAGGTGCCCACATTGGCTCCAAGCCCACTGCTGCGCCCACTAATCCCGACACTGCCCCCACTTACCTCGGGGTGCAGTCAGTCTGGAGGCTGAGGCTGCCATGGGGTTGGACAGTGTGGTGACCCTGGCTCTGGGGCTGGGAATGTGGCTGCCCACGTAGGCTGAGGAGAAGCCGCTAAGCGTGTTGCATCCGGATGCACCGGAGTAGCGGGGCATGGAGCTGACCACAGCCTACAGGTACTTCTTCTGCTCCACACTACTGGAGTCCGCCTGGAACTGGAGGAGAAGGTGCGTTCTGGGCTTTAAAGAGGCCGACGACACCTATGCCATGCAGGCCCCCAGAACGCAGCAGTATTGCCTTGGACCGCCCGCTGCCCCAGCAGACCACGGGGAAGCAGTTCTGGCGGTAGCAGTGGGACACATGCTGCAGGGCGTTGTCCTGGACACTCTGGGGCGCGATCAGCAGCCCCGGGTAGCTGCAGTAGATGGTATACATGCGGTTGACCGGAGAAATGCAGAAGGATTCAGACTTGACCCAGCTCAGGCGGCTGCTCAGGGTGCCCAGGCCGAGGTACTGGTAATCGCGGCAAGTCCTTTCCACCAGGAGGCTGCTCATGGTGATGCGGTCTGAAGGCTCCAGGGCTGAGGACGGGGTCAGCGTGCTGGGCTCCAGCTCCTCAGACACTGAGATCTTGTCCTCCTGGTCCTCAGGGGGCTGGCCCCAGCGCTCCTAGCTTGGGGGGTTGTACTTCTTGCGAGCGACATGCTGCCGCCAAATGGTCTTCTTAGCATTCTTAACCAGGTTCTGGGACAGGGTTCTGAGGGAAAGACCCTTGTTCTTGGTGACACGGGGTGGCCTGCCCAGTGTAGACACGGGGTGGCCTGCCCAGTGTGTAGGCAGAGCCCAGGGTGAAGGAGAAGGTGGCCCTGACATCCAGCGTGTACCGCAGCTTATGCAGCTGCTTGCAGAAGGGCTCGACACTGTCAGACCCCACCTCGTCATCAAAGGCCATTTTCAGCAGCTGGAATGTGCAGGAGCGCAGCTGCAGCCCGTCCTGCAAGAGCTGGTCCACAGGGGTCTGGACGCTGATACACTTCTCCTTGGTCAGCGCGGCCACCGGGAAGGAGCGGAACACCACCTGCTCCCCCACCAGGGGGTCTGTGAGCATCCCTGTGAAGATGACGTGGTACGTGATGAGGAAGACGGCGCCCTCAGCTGGGAGCAGTGCTGGCCCCCCTGCACTGCCCCCGGCACCCTCCTCACGCCCATCCGGTAGCAGGTAGATGCGCAGGCTATCCAGCACACACTCCTCACCAGACAGCAGGCGCGGCCTCAGTAGCTTTGGTTTCTGGGTGGGCATCAGCCTCCAGTTCTCCCGCTGCACAGCCTTCAGGGTCTC